ATAGAAGGCCATATATTGACTTAGAAAACCAGAAATTAATATTATCTATATTTTATTGTGCTTTTATTTGTTTTGGTAAACCTTTCCCAATTCTGTTTTAATCTGGTTCTGCCTCACTGAAGAATCACTCAGGAAGTTTTGCAGGCAGCACATGGCTTGCTGACTGGGAGTTTGACATCTTTGTCTTAGATGGGCGGCACTTCTTGCTTACCTCTTAGATGTAGGACTATGCAATAGTGCATTATTTTAAAAAATTTAGGGAACAAGACTTGAAATTTCATTGGGAGAGGGAAGTCCCAAGGAGGAAATTCTCTCCCCCAAACAGAATAGCAACTCCTCTGCAACTTATAGTCTTGGTTATCTGGAGGCACCAAGAGACGAAGAGGCTTGCACAGTGACACAGCCTATATGTATCAGAGGCCACTCTTGAACCCAGGTCTATCTGGACTCTGAGCCTGGCTCTCTGACCACTATGCTCTGCTGCGTCATGTCATAAATGTAAGTGTTCCATAAGGCACAAGAATTAATTTGATGTTTCATTGGGTCTATAGAGCCATGACCTGTTGCATTTTACCCATCACTGAAGGAGTACCTTATTGGGAGAGAGGAAAGGGAACAAAAAACCAAAATTCATGTGGAATCCCTTGACTTTTTTATTCAGGGCTACTATCTGTCTCTGTCCCAGATGATAGCACTTTTTCCACATTCCCTCTTCCTTCCTTGTAGATGAGAATGATTGTATCAAATTGATATCAGATCCTATAATCATAAGAAGCTTAAATTTACCAAGGATGCTTAACTTCGTGACATGGCCTCGTTTGCATCTGGTGAAGCCTATAAACCCCTTCTCAGAATAATATTTTTAAATGCATGAAATAAAATATAGGATTACAGAGAAAACCAATTATGTTGAAATATTAGTATCAAATATGAAAAAACAGGAAATTTATGGACCACAGGTTAAGAACCCCTAGATTGTCAGATCATAGATTTGTAGCTCCAAGCAACTGGAGCTAGGAGTTCTGAGAACTGGTTGTTAAATTTTCAGTGTGAGCATTTACACTTTGGAAATCTGCAAATACTACAAATCAGGCCTTGATTTATTGTTTTGTTGATTGTCTAGACTTCAGAAAGTGGTGTTAATAATGCAGACTAAAGGGCCTCTTTCATAGATGGCCTCTTCCATAGCTTCCTCTCCGTGATCCTAGCTTTTCAAGGTAGCCATAATGTGCTCATCTGCTACCAAGCCCCACAAAGATTGTGCTATAATGGGTTCCAGTTAAAAGCAAACAACAATCTGGTGGCTGTCATCCTCACTGTCTGAAGTCAGTTCCTCATTCATCCCACCCCTACCCCCCAGCTGTTTTAAATACTTATTTACCAGCACACCTCTGACTTAGAGGTTGTCTAGATGAATGCCTTCATTTTGTAGATGAAGAGATGAAGAAACTGAGGCCCAGAGAAGAGGGTTAAGTGACTCACCTGAGGCCTCACAGGTACTAATTGTCATGGTCAGGTTTCAAAGTCAGGTCCTCTGACTCCAAATCCAGCGTTCTTTCCATTGTTCTGTGATGATACACCAGAATGAATCATTGATTTCTCTTTACCTTTGAGTAGACCCAAAGCAGAAGTTATTTTCCCATCCTAGAGTGTTAATAAGATTCTTAATGTTTATTGATTGATTGATTATTGATCAAGAGAGAGGCAACGTGATGTTGTGGAAAAAGCACAGAACTTAGCACAGTTCCTGGCACTTAGTAGGTACTTAATATATGTTTATTGATTGACTATTGACTGTACAAAGGATGAGACTATGAATTAGTAGCTCTGAAAATTACTACCTGGGAGACCTTGATCGTCACCTAACTTTTCTGGGTCTCTCTCATTTTAAAACAAGATGTTTAGATGAGATGATTTTTGGGGTCCCTTCCCACTCTAAACCCTACAGTGTTAATACATTCCTCTGAAGATGACTCCTAGTGGCCCCTTCCCACTGACACACTGCCAAGTCCCATCCTGAGGAGCTGAATAAAGTATACAAATGATTAATTCCCAAGGAATCCTACCTTTGGAACCTATGCTTTCTAACAAGAATGATAATCAGAGTTGTGCTCCAGTTGGAGGGGGTTTAGGTGGTGAAGGGGAGGTATAGATATAAAACTGAATTCAATAAGCAAGTGATTTTTTTCATGAACAAAAAGTGTATTTTCCTTTCCACCTCCCTTCTCATCAAAAAAACCCACAAACATTGTAACAAATATGCAATATTAAAACAAGACAAAATAACCAAATTTTCACATTTGGCCATGCCCCAAAACCATATGTCTCATTCTGGGTCTTGGACCCCTCCCCCACATCTTTACTTTTCTTTGAGGCAGTGGGTAGCATAGCTCATTATAGGTCCTTTGAAATTATGGTTGGTCAGGGCATTGATTGGAGTTCTTAAGTCTTCCTAAGCTTTCTTTACAATGTTGGTATTATATTTTTATTTTCATTGTTTTCCTGGTTCTGCTCACTTCACTCTGCATCTGTTCGAAAGTCACAGGAAATGAACACATGGCTTCTTCATCCCTCTGAGCAAGTTAGTACTTGGATGTGCTGATGAAATTTTCCTTTTCTCAAGTGGCTAGACCAAATTTCAGAAATGGTTTCAGTGTGCCCACATTTCACTAGTCGGGAAGGGAGAAATGGACATCCTCCAGTTAGGACACTAGGCTCTAGTTACAATTTGAAATGAAAAGCAGTTCTTGGCACCCATTGGAATTATCTCTGGGTCCATCTTATATGCTGAGTGCCTGTTCTATAGAGCCCGGCAGGATTCCTTTAATGTGCCAATTAGACCACCATCACCCATACAGGCTGGAGGAGAATAGCTGGGCCCCCAGCATGCAGGGAGGCAAGATAACAAATAATATGAACAGTGAAAAGATGTAAGGGGTCAGAAAGGGTTAAATGCTGTCAAGCAACTCACATCCTTGAAAAATGCCCACTCTCTCCTCCCCCCTACTAATCTCTGACAGACAATTAGAGCTTTTGATTTATTAGCAGCCCCAGACACAGATCAAGTCTCTGAAGAAAAATGAAGACTTCAGCTGCTTCTGTAGCAAAGGCTACCATTTCCTAAGTAAGAAATGGGAAACGTGACTGATGGTTTTTTAACTCCATGACAATCAATCAACCAACAAGCATTTATTAAACACCTACTGTGTGCCAGAGACTATGCTGGACCATGGGGATAGGAAGACAAAAAATGAAATAGACCCTTCCTTTAAGAAGTCCTTGAGTAATGTTTATTCTGAGGGCAAAAACCAGACTGCTATGGAAACCAGCATCAGCCTCAAAAGCCAAGTATACCACCATGGCATCATTGGGCCTCATGTAACGGTCACACTAAAGAAACATTTGATTGCTTGGTATTTAGGCTTGTGTGAGAATTGTTGATGGTCAGTTGGAGAGAATAATTAATGCTCCCATTTGCATACATAGTGCTCTGTTTTCCCCATGGAAGGTCACAGGTCTGGAAGTGGAAGGGACCTCAGAGGCAATCTAGTACAGTGACTCATTTCACCCAATGAGGGGGCCATGCAGGCTAAGTGGCATGTCCAAGGCTACATAGATGGAAAGTGCCAGTGATGGGATTTGAACAGGTCCTGTGACTAGTATCAGAGTCAAAGTCTTTTCCTCTGTAACGGTCTCTCTTCTTATAGGAGGTTTATAGCAATATAATCATTATCTCCATTTTATAGATGTGGAAATTTTGACTCTGAAAGGTTGAGAGCCAACTTGTAAAATATGGGAGGTTTTGGTTTTGATCCAATGTTTTCCTGACTTTCATATTGTGGCACTGCCCTAAGATTTTAAGGCCCTCTGGACTTCTGGTATTCACCAGGAAGTTCTACTGAATCATGAGTCAGGGAATTACAGGTTGGAAGGATCCTCTCCTCCGGTCTGTTGCCTCCCCAGATCCAACACTCTTTCCACCCTGACCCATGGCCAGAGGGGAGGCTCCTGCTGCTAAGGTCTAACCTCCACCTCCCCTCATTCACAAAGTAGCTGCCTTCTGTTCCAATGGCCAGAGCTGAGCTGAGTGTTAAAATAAAATGCTTTTGAAAGCTAAGAAAGGAAAAGGGAACTTACCTCACTGAGGAAGTATCACTGAATGAGCTCGCCTGAAAAAGAGGTCAGCCGGTCTCAGTGGAAAGTAACTCGACTTTACCTTTAGAAAGGGAACAGAAGGACCAACCAGCCACTAATACTTTGAACTCCACAGTGCCTTTTTTTTTTCTAGAGACACAAAGTGCTATTTAAATAAGTCTTTGGATACTCCAGTGAGGCAGCCTTGAAAGTGGGGGTTATCTGCATTCCAGAGGATCAGGGGAACCTTACAAAGTGACTTATTCAAGGTCACTCAGCAACTTCATGAGTCCATAGAGGTTTGGAGGCCTCCAAAAAGCCCCCTACCAGTCTGCCCAGCAAGGGAAAATCTGGGTCAGCACAAGGCAAAAAAAAAAAAAATCCACTCCCTTTCTCTGCAGTTCTCCTCACAGAATGACACTAAATTCAAAGAATTCCATTTGGTAATTTGACAGCTGACTCTTTGACCAGATCAGACCTCCTAACCTGCCACCATCTTGTATCCTTCTCTTTAAGGTTAGCTGTTTCCCAGGCCCCCAGTGACATCGGACAGGAACATTATTGGCTCACCTTTGAAGTCATGTGAGGCCCCCCTTATTAGGAGCACAAAGGTCAGGAGGAAGTGGGGTGAGGTTGGGCATAGATGAACTTCTTTCATGGGTGGAGTGTAGAAGTAGCATTGGACTTAGGAGAACATTCTTGTCAGTGCACCAACCATGCTTTTTGCTGTCACCCGTGCAGACTGGCCAACACAACAGGAAGGCAGTGACACTCTTATCCTGGCCCAGCCTCAGCTTCCTGGCTTTTAATTCTATTCCTTCATACCCCCAACTCTCCCTAGCTCAACTCCTTGGAAAGCAGTCCTGATGCCTAAGAAAGAGAAATGGGGGCTGTCGAAAATGTTTACACCACCAACTTCTTCTGCTTCTGACTTGTGGTGTAGAGAAAAAGGATTCGTTCTGGATTGTATCGCAGTGGACAGTTTAGCAAAAAGGGCCAACAATTTCTTGCCAAATCCGAATAGCATCATTCCTCCTTATAATGCTCGGAAGGACCAACACCTAGTTGACTACTTTGCAGGGAAGGCTTCATCTCAGCCTCATCAGGGAACAGATTCAGTAAGTTCTTCATGTTTCCCCCGACTTTGTTCTCCTATTCTGGGTGTGTGTGTGTGTGTGTGTGTGTGTGTGTGTGTGTGTGTTTGTGTGTTGCAGATCAACACAGCCTGCGGACATTAACACAACAGGTGATTCTAGATTGGACATATGCACACAGGGTGTGAAGGCATCTTACTCTCCTAAGAGCTCACATTTGGGAGTGATTAGAAATAGCTAATTTTGTTTAAGAAGGGATAGGGATGGGTATAATGAAGACTTTTAAAAAACCGGAGCTGTGATTTCACCAGGCTAGCTCCTGATGGGTATCTGATCTGCAATTTAATAGTCTTAGATGCCTCAGGCATTGAGAGGTTCAAATGACTTGGCCAGGATCATCCAGCCACAGAGATGGAACTGTCTGCTTCATGATCCAATGCCAGCCCTCTAGACCCTTGGCACTTCTCTGAAATATCTGATGATACCCATGAGCCACATGACTTAGGTAGCTGTGTCCTTGGGAAAGTCATTTTCCTTCTATGAATCCCATCCTCCTCATCTACAAAATGAAGGGGACGAAAGCTTGATCAGCCCTGAATTCTTTGAGGCTCATGTTTCTGAGGAACATAAAGGAAGAGCTGGAAAGGAATGGAAAGGCCTCTGGCCCATCTCCCACATCCTTAGCACCTGAGACACCAAGAGGTTAAGTCAATGTTGACCAAGCTTAGTTACACAAGAGAGTGTCAGAGGTAGGATTTCAACCTGGGTCTTCTGACTCCAAATCCAGGGTTCTTTTTCTTTGGAAAATGAAATGAAGATCAATTCAATCTCTGATGCTTACTGTCACAGACTTTGGGCAAATCCCTGGGGATTGGGCTGGATGACTCATGAGGGCCCTTCCAGCTTCCGCTCTGTGATTCTATGATCCTGCAACAAGGAAACATTAAGCACCTAATAATGCGTGCTAGGTGCTGGGTGGGGTGGGAGGGGCAGGGTGATATACAAAGTTTCTTTCTAGATAAAGTACCAACACAGTCAGCCACAAACATACACCGAAGATTCAGTAGACAGTTCCAGAATAAAGTAATGTAGAAGGTCTACGGAGGGGGAGTTAATTACTTAGGGGAGTAGGGACAGAAATTGGGGAAAATTTTCTGGGATCAGCTGGGCTTTAAACAATACAAAGAAATTAATAGGATCCGAGAGGACCATAGAGTCAGAGCTGAAAATGGGCCCCTTCAATGGCATTTAGTCCACATCCCCCTACAATTGAGGAAACAGGCCCAGATAAGGTTAAATGAGTTATACAAGATGCTACAGGTAATAAGTTGCAGGTGTAGGATTCAAATCTAGCTCCCTTCCATAGGTAAAGAATGGGAAGAAGGGCATTAAGGACAGAGATGAGAGAGGATGATGATTTCTTTTTTTGGAGGGGAACTTCATTTGCAGATTTGTACAGTTTATCTAAATTGTATTGCACAAGTTCTTTTTGTGGTGGCTAAGAACTGGAAGTCTAGGGGATGCCCATCAATTGGGGAATGGCTGAACAAGTTGTGGTATATGATTATGATGGAATACTATTGTGCTATAAGAAATGACAAGATGATTTCAGAAAAACCTAGAAAGACTTATATGAACTGATGCAAAGTGAAGTGAGCAGAACCAGAAGAACATTGTGCATAGTAACAGTAATATTGTATGATGAAGAGCTATGAATGACTTAGCTATTCTCAGCAATACAATGATCCAAGACAATTCCAAAAGACTCATGATGGAAAGAGACATCCAAATCCAGAGAAAAAACTGATAGTCTGAGTACAGACCGAAGTATCCTTCCTTCCTTCCATCCTCTCTCTTTTTTTTTCTTGTCTTCTTATACAAAATGACTAATATGGAAACATTTTACATGATTGCACATGTATAACCTATGTTAGATTTCTTACCATCTCAGGGAGGAAGAAAGGGAGGGAGGGAGGGATAGATTTTGGAACTCAAAACTTAAAAAAAACCCAAATGTTAAAATTTTTTTAACATGTCATAGGGAAAAAAATAAAATATCATTAAAAAAAAAATTGTATTACACAGAAGAGATAAGACTGGAATGGGTGTGGAAGGCCTTGCATGCCAGGCAGAGGAGTGAACAAATGCAATATTCCTCTTCCTATATCATGCTCTACTATGAATATTTTGGTTGTCTAGGGGGGCTTCATGAAAATTTGAAAAAAAGAAGCAAAATGCCGAGTAAATTAATTTATGTAAAAGATTCAGAAACAAAGTGACAATGCATGAGGAAGCAAACACCTATACTGAAGTATGTGTGTGGAATGGAGATCAAGGTGGGAAGGAGACAGGACTAATACTGGCATGAACCACTCCTACATATTGATATTAGGCTTTGACTATGTGTCAGCGCAGTCTGTTCTTTCAGAGAAGCCCCCACTGGTCTTAAGTTACAGCCAAACCAGAGGCCTAACAACAGTGCTCCGTCGGGGCTCTGCTGAGTATTTTTATGGGTCTGCTCTTCCCTACTGTCTCAGGTTCCTGTATACCCATTTTATCTTCGCAGTGGTCCAAAGGGGTAGTGGCTCAAGAGGAGGAAGTGAAAGAGGGGAAAGAAAAAATGGCACCAATGGCTCAACAATATCTGATGAGGAGGAACAGAGCAGGTGCAGGTAAAAGGAAAATTATCATCTCTCAAGGTCACTCGTTTCAAAGCAAGGATTTATTTAGTTCTGAATCTGGTCTTATGAGTATTTGCTTATAATTTTGGGTTGAGATCAAGGTATGGATTTTTAAAGCCACATCAGATAACTAGTTGGAAAGTAGGATGCTCAGGCAGGACATATAGTATATTCTTAACTTTTTGAGGTGGAATTTGTGGAGGTCAGCCTACCTATGCTCACCTAAAAAATATCCCCACCTCCCATTATATTTCTTGCCTTCTCAGTGAGTGGGAAAGGGGTGGAGGGAAAGAGAGAGTTTAGAACTGAAAATAATAATAAAAATTAAAATAAAAACAGAACAAATTGAGAAAAAAATCCCCATTCCTGCTCAGTGACAGATTGCTGGGCTGGTGTGATACTCATCCTTTTCTTGAAATTCTACCTTTTTGGCTTATTTCTTTGGAGCAAGGCCTTATTCCAAGAGACCCCTGTTTTAATGCAAATATATTCCCTGAGAAATAATAATACATTATCCTACTAGCCCTCCTTATCACCTAAGTACAAATAAGTTAGTACCAAAGAAAAATAAAGGAACTGATTGTAGGACAAATAAACTGCTGGGAGGGAGAAGAGGAGGAAAAGATGAGTCTGGAGCATAGGGCACTGACTAGAAAAGGGAGGACAGACCATGTTCAAGAATCCTATTGGGGTATCTGGGCATTTGGTGCATCACTGAACCATGAGAATCTGGGTTCTAATCCAGATACCACCCATTTTATTACCTGTGTGACTTTGGGTAAATCACTTGACCTTTATGGGATTAAGTTTTCTTTTCTGCAAATTGTGACTATTGGTCCAGATGACCTGACCTTACAATAACATTTTTAAGCTCTAAATCTAGGCTCCTAAGAATTTCACCTACTTTATATTTTTACTTAAGGTATAGGTGAAAGAAGAGAGGGAAGGGGAAGGGTGGGGGAGGAGGAGAGGGGAGGGGAAGGAGGGAGGGGTTAGGGAGGGATGGGGGAAGAGAGAGAGAGAGAGAGAGAGGGAGACAGTGAGACAGGGAGAAGGAAGAGAGAAAAAGGGAGGGAGAGAGAGAAAGAGGGAGAGATAGAGGGAGGGAGAGATACAGATAGACAGACAAATGGACATCAGAGAGAAAGAAGGACAAGATAAAGATGGAAGAAATGAATGAGAGACAAGAAAAGAGAAGACATGAAAAGGCAGGGTGAGAGATGAGGAAGAGAATAGAGATTTCAAAGTTATTAGAGAACTACTAAGGTAGAAAAAACAGAGAAGAGAGAGAAAAGGAAGAGAGATGAAAGTGAAATGAGACAGGAGAATGAGAAAGAAGAGAATCTTTACATCTGTCTTTCATATTTTACTGTTCTCCTTTGTGTCTCTGTCTGTATGGTAAAGTCACAACAGGAACGCCGTGTACCCTTTCCTCTGTGTCTGTGCACGTTCTGTCTTTGGGTTGCGCCTGTCCCTGCTCCTAACACCCGCTGTGTTGCCTCTGGTTCCTTGGCCCAGGTTTCTTAGCTTCTGTGCCCCAAGCTGACCACGTGCTTATAGATGCTATTTTTCAGCATGTGTGACTGATTTGGGGGCAGGAGAATTCTCATCCACTTCATCAGCCTCCATTACTAAACTATGCCTCTCTCACCACCTCCTCTCATCTCCCTCCCGAGGCCTCTGTTTCCTCATCTATCTGAGGATAGTGAATGAGATAACACAGGTAAAAGGCCTTGGGAGCCTTAAAGTACTGTATACAAATGTGAGCTACTATTTTTACAATTCCATAGTGCTGGGCTATTCTTGACTGAATGCTTGGACTATTTAAAAGTATTTGTTTCTTCTCTTTGTCCAGCTGGAGACCCCTTTGTCCCTGCCTCCCCAGCCCCAACCAAACCCTTCGGCTCAAAGGCAGCTGATTCAGGTTATCTTCTTAGGTCCACTGCCCTGAATATCATAACTCCCCAGGCCCGCACACATGGATTCTGATGCTGTTTATAGTCTATTGAGGTGAAAGAATTTTCCATAGAGGCAAAGTCATAGTTTTGAATATCACCATCCAGATCCTTTATGAATAATTTTATTTTGATGTTGACCCAATTTGTTCGATGGTTTGATTGAATACAAACAACTTCTGACGATTCCCATGCCAAAAACTAGTTATTTCCAGTCTCTTAAGCTGTATTTGGTTTCACATTTCATGAAATTGACTGTATATTGGAAAGAAGCCTGGCTCTGATGGCAGAAGACTTAGTTTTAGATCTTATCCTTGACACTTAGCACTTGTGTGACCTTGGTCATTCAACCTTCCTGGGCCTCAGTTTCCTTCTCTGTAAAATGACAGGCCTGGGCTAGATTACCTCTGAAATCCTTTCCATCTATAGATCTATGATCTTATGAGCTTCCTCTTGCTTTGAGGTTCTAGAGATCTCCCTGAGGGTCTAGGGGGCTTCTCTAGTACTGCTGCTCATGAGCCCCCATCGAGTGTACTTCCCTACGTTGGCTCACATTCTGACGGTGGAGGTGGGAGGACACACAATATATAGAAAGCTAGATACATACAAGATGCCCAGAAAGTAGATGGGAGATAATCTGAAAGCAGCAACTGTGACGATCAGAAAGACTTTCTGCAGGTCCACTGTTATTATTGCTGCTGCTGCTGCTGTTGCTGTTGTAATTACTAATGGACAACTTAGCAATCATTCACATGGGCTTTGGTTCTCTTCAGGGAGAAAATATTCACGGTATGTAGGTATGAGCCTTCTGAATTGTCTATGTGTTACATGCCTTTGATCTCTTATTTCTAAAACCAGAGTCATATTTCCAAATATACTTCTTGCCGCCCTTGTCTGTGACTGCCTTCACAAAGAAGTCACCGAATATCAGAGTAGCTGTTGACTTGGTTTGGGGGTTCTCGAGTCCTTCATAGAATCTTTCTGCCTCTTCTATCCTCTGCAATAGAAATGGATACATCTGTTACAGTGTTCTTGCTAGTCTCTCTTTTTTTGCTTATGTTTATTATGAGCTTTGCAAGAAGAAATGATGCATTATCCCATGAAATGATGATTTTTGCATTTTTTTTTGGTTACCATTGCATGAGGCAGGTAAAGGGAATAGAGTGCTGGGCTTGGGGTCAAACCCTGTTTCAGATATTTGCTAATGCTGTGTGTGACCCTGGGTAAGTCCACATAACCACTCTCATTCTCAGTTTCCTCATCTGTAAAATAGGGACAATACTAGCACCTACTTTAAAAGGGTGACTTTGAGGATTAAATGAAACAACATATACGTAAGCACTTTGTGAACCTGAAAGTGCTACATAAATACTAGCTATTATTATTAATGGAACCAGTTCTTTCCATGATACCACACTGACTGATCTCACCCTTATAGAATCTGCAATTAAACTAATGTTTATAGATGATCTAAAAATTACGTGATCTTTAGCAGTCGCTACTTTCCTTTCTGTCACTCTACCGTGGCCACTGTATAAGTGGAAAGGTTGGTAGGAGACTTAGGGTCCTTTTCTGGCATTCTGGTAATGATCTCTCCCAATGAGGATAGGTTGGCCAGTGGGCTCCTGATTCCATTTCTGGGATTGCCCTCAAAGTCTTTCCTACAGAGCAGGTCTTTCTCTACGGACTACTGGTATACAAGTCCAGGGTATGTCTCCTCACAGGGGTGAGGCATTGGAGCAAGGCAGAGTAAATGGATCCAAAAGCTAATAGAACTCACTGGGGTGGCACATGCAACTGTCAAATCAATCCTGCCAATTGTGTTTGTGAAGCAGAAATGTAGGAAAATGGATTATTTTAATTGCTAATTGTTCTTAAGACCCCTAACAGGGAATTTTTAAAAATTGTGGTGCAAATCTCCTCGTCTACAGGCATAGCAAAGGAATTAAAGTTTATTCAGAAACTGACATGCTGCTGATTGAAGCACAAAAGAGAGTAATCAGGGTCGTTTTATTTATTTTTTTATCTGGCTTTTCACATTCACATAGAAAATTATTTCAAGGGCCAAATGCTAAGAAAAAATAAGTACGTAAACAGATTTCCTAATCAGTCATATGTCCCCATTACTTAGAAATATTATCTCCACCCTCCCTTCTATTATCCTTCCCCATCAGTACCTAATCAGTGCCCAAATATAACTTTAATTATTCTTTTGTTTATGACACTAAATGATGTGGTGAATTGGGGGGGGGAGCAATTAACATTAGCACTATGCTATTCTGAATGACATAGAACCTTTTCTCTGTGGTTCTTAGATCATGGGATCATAGATTTAGAACTAGAAGAGGGGCCTCAAAGGCTATTGTGCAACCCTCTCATTTTAAAGACGAGGCAACTAGAGCCCCTACTTGCTCAAGGTCACACAGGTAATAAGTTAGGCATCAGAGGTGGGATTTGAACCCAGGTGTTCTGGCTCTGGAGACAATGCACTTTCCACTCCTCCAGCTGCTTCCTTTATATAGTCAAACTCATCCTCATAACACACCTGCACCAAGTGCCAAGAAGAGCCAAGCAATAACAGCAGTTGACATTGGATGGTACAAAGTTTGCAAAGTGTTTTTTTAAGTATGTTAGCTCAGTTGAGCCTCACAATAATCCTGTGAGGTGGATGCTATTATTACCACTATTTTACAGATGAGGAAACTGAGGTCCAGAAGACAGGTCAAGTGACTTAGTTTTGGGGGTCAGCTCTAGGGGTCAGAGGCAGTATTTGAACCCAGTACTAATTTGAATTTCAACCCAGGACCAGTTCTAGGTCCAGTACTTTTCTACTACTCCACTGAATGGAGAAACCAAAACTGACTCAAATATCCACAGCCAGCTAAGAATGCCTTCTCAATTAGGGCTCCTTTCTGAGGGTCTTGTAACTGAACTCTAACGAGACATATGATTACTCTTCTTTGCTCTAAGACTTGGGAGGGAAGTGACATCGGGGAATTTAGGCAGGATATTGTATGGAGCAATTGCTGCTGAAGGATTAATCAATCAGTTGACAGTTCTCATGTCGAAGGAATGATCTTTCCTTTCACCAAAAAGACTCCTCTTAGTTCCCCATGGCAAAGTTGATGATATGGTAGCAGAAACTTTATGCCATCCTGTGACTCGTTATTCATTTTATGACTTGCTCTTCAGTCAGAACACATCGTGCACCATATTGGATATATTATTGCTGCTGACTTTCATGCTTGTGGTTGGCTATTCCTCTTCCAAACTTCTTGGAAAGAGTAGTCTAAAACTAAGCTCATAATCTCTCCCTCCCCCACCCCCAACCCGTGTCTTTATTTTTATTAATGATATTTCCATTAACTTTGTATACACTCTCCCTCATATTCAAAATCCAAGTCATCACCAAATATGATTGTTTTTCTTGACTATCCTTTTTATTATTATAAGAGTGACGAAAAATCAACAAACACGAATATTTCCATATATGAAGAAAAAAAGAAAAAAAGGTTGTATGTGAAACAAAGAAACTATTACATACAGCTTGTTTAAACTAATATGTATGTATATATGTATATATTTATGTATACATATATATTAGTTTAAACAAGCTGTAGCTTGTTTAAATAGTAGCTCCAGAGCTACCCTGCTTATCTCTGTCCCCTTCCAACTTTCTTTTCGCTCTTTTGTTTATTTAAAAAATGATGTTATTGATATCTTTTTTTATCACTTGTTTTCCCCTATATCTCTTCCTCTACCCTCACATATCTACCTTTTATAACAAAGAATAAAAAAGAAACAATTCAATCAAGCTAATCACACAATTAAAAAGTCTGACATCAAATGAAATATTTCACATTGGAAGGCTCCCCAACTTTTTAAAGGAGTAGGTGTCCTTTCATATCTCTTCCTTGGGGCTAAACTTGGTCATGATAATTTAACAACATTAAGTTTTGATTATTTTGTTGTTGTTGTTCTTTTCAAGTACATTGTTATCATCATTTCATATATTGGTCTTCAGATATATTTAATTTCACATATATTATCTATATATTACATATTGGTAATAACAGCATCCACCTCACAGGATTATTATGAGACTCTAATGAGCAAAAAGAATTTTGCAAACTTTTTACCAATCAGTGTCAGTTGTTATCGTTTAGCTCCTCTTGGCACAGGTGTATATGATGATGGGTTTGAATATACGAAAACCAATTGATCCATAATAATTCTTTCCATGATTTTCTAAATTCATAACATTGATTTCTTTTATCAAAATAATATTCCTTTACATTTATGTATCACAATTTGTTTTGCAATTCCCCAATCAATGGGCATCTTTATTTCTAGTTCTTTGCTAACTATGAAAAGTGCTGCTATAAATATTTTGGTATATATGGTGCCTTTCTTTTTGTCTTGACCTCCTTGGGAGGGGGAGACAGTATATGCCTAGTAATGGAATCTGTAGGTCAAAGGATATAGACATATTAGCCACTTAATTTTGAAAAATTTCAAATTGTTTTGCCAGAGTAGTTGTTATCAATTCAGTGATATGCAATTAAAGCTTTAGTTTGTCCATCTTTCCATTACCCCTCTACCAATGATTGTTCCATTTTTTAACATATTTGCCAGTTTGGTGGGTGTGAGGTTAAGGGTTATGTTGACTTGTGTTTGTCTTATATCATTAGAGATTTGAAACATTCTTTTATGTAGCTATTAATAGTTTGCAATTCTTCTTTTGGGAACTATTTGCTTTTATCTGCCAACAACTTATCTATTAAGGAATGGCTTTTGGTCATATATATATATATATATGTTTCCTATATTTTTGGGATATCAGACCCTTATCAGAGATATTTGATACAAAGATTTTTCCCAGCTGATTGCTTCTTCTTTTATCCTAGCTATACTAATTTTATTCATGCAGCTTTTCAATTTTGTTAATCAGAATAATCTATTTTATCTTGTTTGGTTATGAATTCGCTCCCTTCCCACAGCTATGAAAAGCACATGGTGTGCTATTCTTCTTGGTATGATTTTAACATTCAGACCATATATCCATTTTGAATTTGTTGTGGAATGTGGTATGGGATGTCCTTTTAAGCCTGATTTCTGCCAGACTACACTCCAGTTTTCCCAGAAGTTCTTATCAAATAGAGAATTCTTCCAAGGTACTTGAAGTTTTTGTATTAATTGAAAAACTTTGGGTTTTTGAATTCACTTATTTCTGATTCTTCCTTGTCTGATCTGTTTTATTAATCTACTTTTCTATTTTTAATGGCTTTGATGGTTGTTGCTTTATAATACAGTTTGAGGTCTGAACATTCTATTTTCTTATTACTGGTCTCTTGTTATTTTAAGCATGCTTCATCGATACTTTTCCTTCTTTCCCTTCTGTCTTTGCCTTGTCTCCCTCCACTCTAATACCATTTTCCACTGAATTGTCAAATTGATCTTCCTAACCCAGGTCTGCCACCTCACCCCATCCCTTCAATGGCTCCCTATTATCTCCAGTATCAAATACACAATCATCCTCTGTTTGGCTTTGGAAGCCATTAATAACTTGGCTCCTTCCTTTCTTGCATCTTACTCTCCCCTCCACTCTGCAATCAAGTGATGCTGGTCTTCATGGTCTCCATCTCCTGACTCCATGCATTTTCACTGGTTGTCTCACATTCTTGGAATTCTCTCCCTCCTCATGTCTGTCTCCTGGTTTCCCTGGTTTCCTTCAAGTCCCAGCTAAAATCCCAACTTCTACAAGAAGTCTTTCTTGATCACCCTTAATGCTAGCAGTGCCTTCCTCCTGTTGATTATCTCCAATTTATCCTGCATATATCTGAATTGTACATAGTTGTTTGCATATGGTCTCTCCCATTAGACTGTGAGCTCCTTAAGAGCAGGAACTGTTTTGAATCTTTCTTTGTATCCCCAATGCTTAGCGAAGGGTGTAGCAAATAGTAGGCGCTTAAAATATGTTTATTGTTATTATTTTTCTTGGTATTACTATAACTAACCATCTCCCCCTTCCTTCTCATAACTTTAACCCTCCCTCAAAAGCTGACCCTTGCAACAAATAATGGTAATCAAGCAAAACAAATCTACCATTGGCTTTGTCTGAAAAGGCAAGTCTAATTTCACATCTCCCTGACAAGAATTGGAAATTATGATTTATCTTTGATCTTCTGGAGTCCTGATTGGCCATTGTGTTGATCCTAGTTTTATTTTTTCCCCAGTTAACATGTTCTTCAGATTTTCAAAGTTGTTTTCCATTATAATGTTGTAATATGACTCTCCTTTTCTTTTCTCTTTTTCTTTTTGCCATCACCCTAAATCAAAATCCTCCCTGGTTCTAACCTGGCTGTTCCAGTGGCCTCTTTGTATCCTCAGCTCCAGGCTATCCCTCTCCTTCTGTTCATCTGAAGCATCAGTCTGGGTTCTTAGCATTTTTATGTATAATATAGGATCATATATTTAGAGCTGAAAGGAATCTTGTAGGCCATCTAATCTCACTCATTTTCTACATAAGGGAAATTGGCTTGAACTAATAATGGTACTTGCCCAAGGTCACACAAATAGTCAGTGACAGAACCAAAATTGGAACTCAGATCCCCTGATTCTGAAGCCAGTCTCTTATTATATGTCTTATCCACTCAATGTTTATTATTTATCTGTTTACTTCAGTGCCTAGCAGAGACTTTTACCCGTAGTAGGTACTGAATGTTTGCTAAGAACAGATGAATGAATGGTCTTAAAACAGCTCAATCTAATCTTTCCTTGTGGATTGTTCCCAGGTCATTCTACGGAAGAGATACAAGGACACAGCTTTCTTTTTTCATCTCTCAAACCAGTCCTTGGATACAATGGTCCCTATGGATACAGAAGGAACCGCCCAAATTTACGCAAGACACCTGCTACTTTTGGGATATTAACTCACCTGCCAATTCATTAGCTTTACAACTAGGGGAGAGGGAGTTGTTCCTTTTAAATTGGTCTTGTGGTCTGTTCTTGTTAATTTATTCACTGAATTTTTTAGGCCACACTGATAATGGTATGTGAGCCATGTAATATGACCCACATACACTGAACCTATACCCCCATTAAAACAGTAATTAACACCTTTTCTAACATGTGGCGATTCCAAACGTAGCTCAAAGGAATCATTGTTCAGGTGGATGAGCACAAAAACCTAAGCTGGGAAAAAAAGGGAAAACAAAAGGCAATGATTTTCCATGCTAGATGATAGGATATCAGCCAATAGCTGGGAAACATCACTAAATGCTCCCTCAAATCAACCACAGAAGAATTTAGGCACGCCATCCCACCACCTTCTGTGTGGCTTATGTTGTAGAGATCTCTAGCACAGACCCCAAGGTAGGAGAGACCCTGGCACACTACCCGAAGGTTTAGAGTCAGAATGTGGGGCATTTTGAACTGATGCTTAGGAAGCTGCTGCCTGGGGAGCAGCTCAATGGATATATGGGTGGAGATAGAGGGAGGGAAGGGAAGAGGCTGAAAGCAGAGGGTAGAGGGTATCTAACAACTGGTAACATCCTAGTTTAATTATCCTTGCTTAATTATCCTTTAATATCTATGCTACTGAAGGAATGGGAAAGTACTGTTAAAATGTAACAATTTTAAATTGTATAGTCTCTTAAAATATTCATTATTATTTTTTAGCCTTTACATTTTAGTTCCTTGAAGCAAAGCTCAGGTCACCTTACCTAGTTGTGGCTCTGGACTCTTATTTGCATTATGATAGTCTTTGAAGATTTCTGGGGCCAGGTTTTTGGTATTTTCTGAGCTCTCCAAACCTCATTTTTAAATAACAATGATAGTGATTGCTAGCAAGTATACAGCACTTCAAGGTTTGCAAAATGCTTTACAAATATTATCTCATTTTATCCTTACAACAAACCTTTGAAGTATGTGCTACTATTATCATATTTCAGATAAGGAAACTGAGGCAGACTGAGGTTAAAGTAACTTGCCCAGGGTTACTGCAGACTTAATTCTTCCTAGAAGTCCCTTCAATGACAATTTGAAGGTTACTCTTAATGTGAAATGGAGCAGTAGACAATTTTAACATGGGCATATTCCCTTAATACCTCCCTACACGATCATATCAGGGTTAAATATTTCTGTCTATTCTGCCAATCACAAAAAGAAGAGTTTTTGTGATTTCTGTGTTTTAATTCAATGTATTTTTGTTGTTGTTGTTTATATAAAAACCAGTTACATTTTTTGACTTAAGTAACTATGTTTTCTATAAAAATAAGAGGTTTGGACCGAAATGACTGCTCAGGGCTCTTCCAGCTTTAAATTTTCTTGTGATTGGTCAATCAGCCAGCCAGCATATATATTAAGTGCCTTCCATGGATGTCCCAAGCACGATGCTGGAAACCACACATACAAAGACAAAAAAAGAAACACTCTCCTGATCCTTGAACATTTTGAGTTCTACCCTATGTTAATAAACCTGACAAGTCAGTTAAGTTACCTTCTAATTAGGGACCCTAATGGGGGAGAAAAGAGATCCTAACTAGTCCACAAAACACAATCTGAAACTCACATGTGCTATGTGATAAGTGCCCACTCTGGATCTATTATATGCAGGTAGCCACATCCTGGCTCCATTTTAACACTGGGGGTACCTGGGTAAGGAGATTCCTTGTTACATAAGAGAATCCACTAAGTAAACAACTCACTCAAAGACAGTTGAGATTATGGTAAAAAGTAGACATGGTGGTCGGACCAATATAAAAGACAGCTCTGGGAAGGGAATGAAAACTCACGTAATTACTATATACTTCTGAAGCCTATACCACTCATTGCTACAAGACACAAGACCATTCATGACATATTGTCCGTCTGAATAATACAGAGACTTTCACCTACAATGACAAATCTGGGTGGGCTAAGAGCTGCTTCCTATTATTTAGGAAATACACCAATCAAATAAATGTATTTCCAAAAAAGCAAGCCAGATAAAACCAGTAGGGTAAAGACTGACAAACCACTTGGAGTGGAGGGAAGTAAGTACTACAGAAACAAATATGAAAGACATCAAAGAGTCTCATTAAGGGATCATTCTGTTGATTATACCTTTAGTGCCTCTGAATCAGGAAGTGTTAAAAGTGTTTCAAGTACCCAGAGGTCATCTAGTCCCTCTCCTCTCCTCCCTCACTTTACTGGAACTTGAGACTCAGAAATATTAAATGACTTAGTGATGGAACCACACGACCTGTGAGATCACCAAATTACCTGTCGACATCCATATCTGGAAATGGAAGAGGTTAACTAGATGACCCCTGAGTTCCCTTCCAGCTGTACATCTACGATCCGATGGTAATGATGATGTTGTTGATGATAGCTAATAAGGCACTTGAAGGTAAGCAGTACTTAAGAGATGGGAAGAGGCTATCAGGGTCCAAGTTTATTACATGGCAACCAGTGTTCTCTCAACTCTCTTCTTTCTCTTTTCTAACCTGCCTTGCACATAAATGCTCCATAAATGTTGAACTTGATGTGAATGGCAATTGAAAAGGTTAAGGGGGGAAAACAAAGGCTTTGTCTCCCTACCCCACTTTCCTGCCTCCTTTGGTGAGTTGCCTCTCTACATTAGATTGCAAGCTCCTTGAGGGCAGGGATTGGTTTTCTTTTTATTATTGCATCCCCAGTGCTTAACACAGTACCTGGTACACAGTAGGTGCTTAATCAATGTCTATTGGATTGGATCATATCCCTATACCGACTGGTAAACTTGTTGAGGGAAGGAATTCTATCTTAGTTCAACTCTGCACCTTCTCCAGTACACAGAACAGATTGAATTGTATTAAAAGTTAACAGAAATGGGCAGCTAGGTGGTGAAGTGGATAGAGCTCTGGCCTTGGAGTTGGGAGGACCTGAGTTCAAATTCGGTCTCAGACACTTGACACTTACTAGCTGTGTGACCCTGGGCGAGTCACTTAACTCTGATTGCCTCACCAAAAAGAAAAAAAAGTCAACAGAAACAACTCACTCAGAAAAGAAGTGGAGGCCAACCCAGCAACCCTCTCTCTTACGTTGTATGCTTTCTCCTGTTTCGATGGTCAGCTTATTGGTATATGAAACTATCTTTGAGAATGCAGGTATTTATTGAGTGTCATTCAACATTGGAAAACAGTTCTACGCTCATCTGGCTTCATCAGTTTGGATGAAAATTTCTGTCGACTTACAATTACTCAGGTGGTTTAGTGTGTGGTCCAGTCTCTTGTAGCAATGAATGACACACACTTCAGAAATAAGTCATTTGTCTCCCAACGATTAGAAAAGAATCTAAAAACAAGGCCTTGGAACCCATAATTGACACCATCTATGCTATTTCCAAGTCTAATGAAAGGAGCACCAAATTTTGAATGAATAAAAGCATGTTCAGGAAATTCAGTTTGTGGGCTTTGACGGTGATTTATATATTTTCTATAACAATCATAATGAATTGTTAAGGTGATTTATAGTTTTATAACAGCTGGACACACACACACAAACACACACACACACACACACACACACACACACACCTCTATTTTAAAAAACCCAGGGAAAGCAGAAGTTGATGGGGGCTACATACAATAACATACAGAATTGTGCAGACCCAAAAATCCAGCACAAGGTGACTGATCCATCTTACTTCACTAAGGACAGCCACAAACTACTAGGTAGAAAAAAGCTGGGTGACAAGCCTGTCAATCATAGGTCTATCAAAAGCGCTGGTATTTATGTAGCATTTTAAGGTTTGTAAAGTGCTTAACCTGTGTTAACTCATTTGGTCAAAAAAGCCACTCTGGCCACCACTCCTTTACATATGTTGTTTCTCCTAACAGAATGTAAGCTTCTTGACAACAGTGATTATCTTGCTTTTTGCATTTATATGCTTAGTGCTTAATAGGGTGCCTGACACACAGCAAGCACTTAATAAATGCTTTTTCATTTATTTGCTCCTAAGAAAACATGTAATAATAGCTAACATTTATGTAGCCCTTTAAAGTTCACAAAGTACTTTTACTTAAAAATATGTCATTTAATTTCATGCCAGCCACTGAAGTATGTTGTACAGGGAATATCACTCACATTTTACAGATGAAAAGAACAAAACTCTGAAAAGTTTAGGGATTTATTTGCCCCCGATCACACTGCTAGTGTCAGGGTTAAGATTCGAACCCGCAATTCTCCTGACTCCAAATGCAGCATTCGTTCCCCTAAACCATGTTTTATCTCTTCAGATTTTGAGACGATAAGTTTTAACTTGGTTTAAACGTCAGCGCCACACTGTTGATACAAAATCTCTCTCCAGTAGGTTCAGGCCCATCTGGAAACACATGGCCCAAGTGAGCTTCACACTGCCAAAGAAAAACTCATCATTAGTAACCAGAAGTGCTCTGCAGCCTCTCTGAAGATAAAAAGAGTCAGCGCTTTTTACACAAATGTTTAGTGATGTCTTTTGTTGTCGTATCACCTTTGTTTCCAAATATATTCCTTCCTGCAGGAGTGTGCTGTTAAATATTTAACAATCAGCTCTCCAAAAACCCAACACACTTTTGATTTGTATCATTAACAATTTCCCCATCACTTCCTTAAGTCTAGACATTCACCAAAACAATAAATCAAGCTATGATTTGTAGCATTTGTCGATTTCTGAGGTGTAAGTGCTCACACTGAAAATTTGATAATAGGCTCTTTCAAGGAATTATTTCCTCTAGCAAGTGAGTCATCCCTTGGCACAAAGATTAAACAAAAAAAAGAGGAAAACAGTTCAACAATAGCAAGTGACACATCAACTCTATCTGACGATATGTGCAATATTCCACCCACATAGCCCTTTGCCTCTGCAATGAAGAGAGGGAGGTGAAGATTTCAATTTTTTTTTCATGGCTAAGATTGTTCATTTTGATTTATGTAAATGATAATTGCACGTTTTTGTCATAGAAAAAGGCCTGACTGTGGAGAATAGAGGGAAATTAACTTAAAGGATAGAGAACTTAAAGGACTTTATAGAATATCTGGTACCACCCCAATATTTTATAGTGTTTGGTAAACCTGGGCACTGTATCTAAGGGAGTTGTTGTTATTGTCATCATCATAATCATTATCATTGTGGTTGTCATCACCATCATCATCATCAATGAATAAAACGAGATTCATAGCGATGAAGTGAATTTCCTAAAGTTACTAATACACACAGACGCCAAGGGGCAGAGTCATGAATTGCTACCTAGGTCCTTTATTTCCAAATCTAGTTCTCTAATGCGACTTGCTACCTAATGTATATCTTAAAAAGCAAATGCTATCCCATCAGCCTTCCCCTATGGGAATCCTTTCACCAAAGCAGACTGAAACATTCAGGATGGTTCCTGAGACACCTAATGGTTAAGTGCTCAGGGTCACACAGCTACTGTTAGAGGTAAGACTTGAACCCAGGTCCTTCTGCTTCTAAGCTCAGCACTCTAGCCAACATGCCACCTACTACCATCTCTAAATCCTCAGGACTACCTCAAAAAAGATTCAAATAGAAGCCATGTGCCTTAAAAAGGCTAAATCAACTGACCACAGCAGACAGATGTTTTTGAAACCTACACATTTACAAAGAATGGTTCAGCAGAAAAGATAGATTGATAAATGTGCAGTCATAGCACCTGAATTTAAATCTTGGTTCTGCCTGATATTACCTGAGTGATCACAGGAAAGTCATTTAACTTCTCTTGGTCACATATCAAATAGAGGCAATTTATATAGCATTTACTATGTACAAGGCACTGGAGGTGCTGTGCTAATTGGCTCAGTCTCCCTATCTGTAAAAGAAGGGGGTTGGATTAGCTGACTATTACACTGTGAGCTTTTTGAGAATAAGGGTTGGCTTTTGCCTTTCTTTGTATCCCCAGGGTTTAGTGCAGTGTCTGGCATGTCATGGGCACTTAATAAATGTTTACTAAGCCCCATACCTTAAGTCTCTACATTTATGATCCTATGTTCTCTTTAGTACATTCTTCTTAACTGAACTGTAATGCTTTACTCAATCCAATTACCTTTAATATTTTCCTTTTGGTCTTTCAAAGTACTTAACAACATGATATCCTTCCTGGTGGCAAGATGGTGCCATGGATAGCAAGCCAGGCTCATAGGTAGGAAGATTTGGGTTCAAATTCTACCTTTGAACACATATTAGCTGTACAATCCTGGACAAGTCACTTGTCTCAGCACCCCCAGGGAGCTCTCTCAGAGCCCTCCATTGCAGAACAGATGACTGACATATTTCTGAAGGGGTCTCCTTTATCTAGAGTTTGCTACACCAGTGGAACCACAGATCTAACCACAGATCTAGACCAAAAGTAAAATAAAAGAGGCAGGCTACGTGGTGCAGTGGATAGAGCACTGGCCCTCAAGTCAGGAGGACCTGAGTTCAAATCCAGCCTCAGACCAAACACTTCACACTTACTAGCTGTGTGACCCTGGGCAAGTCACTTAACCTCAACTGCCTAAAAAAATAAAAAAAAGTTAAACGAACATAACCTCACCTTCAGGGTCCTTTACTGCATCTAAACCTTACTTTGACACTATTTGCTATTTTAAAAAAAAGTATTTAAGGAATAATTCCCCCTTTGAAGACTAGTTTTTATTTTTGTCTTCATCTTCCCAGTACTTAGCACAATGCCTGACATCAAGTAAGTGCTTAATAACTGGTTTTTTTTTTTTCCGAGTGGAAATGAATTTCCAGAATGCTACAGACTTCCATGAGAGCTCTCATTAACAGAAGGAATTGAGCACAAAAGCTAAGAACTGTCTCTTCATTTTAAAAAAATGCCATTTGCGTCCAGCCGGGGTTCTTAACCTCTTTTGTGAATATGGCCCCCTTCTCACAAGAATGTTTTTAAATGCTTAAAATAAAATTCACAGGATTACAAAGGGAATCAATTATGTTGTAATACAGTTATCAGAGTATGAAAAAAGTTCAAGCCCAATTTAGGAACTCCTGGTCTACAGTTTGCTTTCTTAGAATCTTAAGTCTGATTTCTTTTCTGGTTATCTATTGGCTTGTCTGTATGGCTTTGCAAGATTTCCTTATAGCTGCTAAACATTACCCATTTTCTAGCCCCTATAAAGGAATCTCTAATTGTTCACATGACCCTCGGTTAAGGCAGATGAGAGAGAAGATTCTACTATAGCACAGATGAAGATGGCAATATCTCATGCTTATACTCTCATAAAGTCAGCTATAGCTTCTTTCTCCTAGTAATTCTGCATACTCCTCTTTAATGCTAGTATGAAGGCATAGATACCTTGGCAAAGCCTTCATCCTAGTTATTTATCCTTAACTAATCCCAGGGGACAAGGAGAGGTGGAAGGGGTCACTTTAATTTCCTGTCCATTCCCAAACCTGATTCCGATTCTGTTCCTCCCCCACCTTGGGAAGGCTGAAGCTGGAAAGATGGAGGCTTGAGAAAGTGCCTCAGGAAGATTGTGGTTTTGCTTCCAATCTTGAGAACCATGTAAGAGGGGCTGCAATTATTCAAATGTTTTTATTCTGAACTTAAGGGACACCAAACAAAACAATCATTTCAGAATTACTTTTTAAGTTGATAACTGATGAAAAATGTTTTAAGTAGTTACAAGATAGCTCCTGTGATCTGATGATAAGAACTGGGAATGTCAACAAAAACGGCTGGAAGAAAATACTCCTTTTGACTTCCGGGTAACTTTAAAGCAAACTTACCTGTTTGCAAACAACCTCTACCCGAGCTGTTGTCCGGGAGTAGTCAGGCCGCCTCAGGATGCTGGTTTCACTTTCATCAGAGCCAGATGCACCATGAGCCTCTGTGAATGAAGGCCACCCGGTGCCCGAGCAGAATTTTTTTTCAGAACTGCAGAACAGATCAACAATGATCAAAACTGTTATTAAGTAGTCCACTGTTCCCATGCAAAGCATGTTCTGCTGGCTCATTTTGCCAACCAAAAGAAAACCCCCAAAATGAAATCCTATTTCCTCTCCCTGGCCCAAACCAGTTTCCTCTTGTACTACTGAAAAGCAGCATGGCATAGTTAGTGCTAGAACTTGGGTTCAAATTCTAGGCAATATAGTGTGGAGAACTCTGGGCTTGGAGTCAGATTCTGTCTCAGACACTTAGCAGCTGTGTTATCCTGGGCAAGTCATCTACCCTCTGTTTGCCTCAGTTTCTTCATCTATAAAAATCAAGGGTTGAATTCGATGACCTCTGAGGTCCCTTACAGCTCTAAATCTATGCTCCTGAGTCTTGCCTTTTATTATATACCCGCCATGTAATCATGGTCAAGTTACTTAACCTCCTCATTTTCCAAGGTATGTCTTTAAGACTCTAACTTATTAACGAGCAGAATGTGGCCAATCTGCATCAGTGAAGGGAATGATCTCACAGGTCAGAACAAAAACGATCCCCTTCCAAACATTAATACTGCTAGGTAAATCATTGAGTGTTACTTTGACACTAAGATCTAGCTCAACATCATATAATAGTTACATTTACAGTATCTTGACATGTTGGGGGATATTTCTGCTTTTGAAACTACTGACTGGATATTGGCATGACAGATATTAACATTTATGGGAAAACCAGAGGTAAGGAGGGCAGGAAGATTTGTTCCCTTAGTTTTCAGTAAATCAAACCAGTAAGAAACTTGACTGTGAGAAAGTAATATGTTTTAAAATGCCCTTTTTATTAAAAGAGAGACAGAAACAGGATACTTCTTTTTAGTGATCAAATAATTCCACACATGGTCTATTCCTTTCTTACAAACTCAGAGGAGTTCAGAGTGTGATCCCATAGAGCACCAGCAGCTATAAGCCCCACTGTGTGATGAAACATGCCAGAGATGGGAAACATGGTTTATTATTTTATTAGTTGTGTGACCCTGGGCAAGTCAACTAATCTCCATCTGCCTCGGTCTCCTCAAGCATAAAATGGGATAACAATAGGAACTATGTCCCAGGGTTATTATGAAGATTCAAATAAGATAATATTTGTAAAGCACTTAGCATAGTGCCTGACACATAGCACATGCTTCTTATGTCTTTCCTTCCTTCCTCTCTCCCTCTCTCCCTTCCTTCCTTCCTCCCTTCTTCCCTCCCTCTTTCCTCCCTCCTTCACTTCCTCCATTCTTTCCTTCCTCCCTTTCTCCTCCCTCCCTCCATCCCTTCTTTCCTCCCTTCCTTCCTTTCTTGCTTCATCCTTCCTTCCCTCCCTCCATCTATATGCCTACTATTTCTCAAAACAAAAAGTATTCTAAGACACAACATTCATCTGATCCTATCTGGTCTAGGAAAAAAAAAAGACCCAGGAGATGTTCTGTTATCACGGCCCTCCCCTGCCCAAGTATTCTATATTGACTCATGTTTGCTGATATTTACTAAGAAAATTCATCTTATTACACTATGGTTTCATAAATGATAAATCGTACTGATCGTTAAGGCTTGTGTACTAGAGAGAAACAGTTGTAAATAATTCTTAATTCCAAAATAATAATAAAAAGCCAATTTTCTAAAGTTAACAGTTTTATGGGATTAAGTCCTTTGTAGACATAATTAGCAGAATCTAGATATATACCCTAGTGGGACAGGCCCAAATTGCACAAACAGATAAACAACCTGATTTAGGAGGTTTTAAAATTTAAGAGCATTTAGAAAAGTCGATTCCTACATTTAAGTGACTGGCACATTTTAACTAACACAAAGTAAGAAATAGGAGTATTCTGGACCTATCCCTACTTATTCTTAATTTATTTTTAATTTCAAACTCTAGCAACTCTCTACTCCCCCAAATCAATACACAGTGACACCTAGTGGTACATGGTAAAACTCACATCTCAGAAAATTTTCCATTAATTTTATGGAATTCACAACAGGGTTTTAAGCAGTATCTTTTACTTGCTTACCCCATATATAAGAGCAGGATGATTTGAAACCAAAGTTAAGGGAAATTTTCAGTTCATATCTATTTTAAGGAGAACTTTCTTTTTTAATTGTGAAATATGTTTCATGACCCCAAGATAATTCAAGGAGAGTTCAATATAACTTTACACTTACTGAAAACAAAACAGATTTTCATGAGCACTTCAAAAGACTGTTACACAACCCTATGAAGCAAGACTCTAGATCCCCCTGACCATTCATTACTTTTCCCTAAGCTTACAAATAAATTAAGAGTTCCCAGACTTGAATTTGGGTAAATTGGGGGCTGCCAAAGAAGTCACTCAATGTTCAAGCTAATGATTGCACGGTGTTATGAATGAGTCTGGAATGTCAAGGACTTCTTGTTTGGGATGGGATCAGGAAAAGAGGGCAGAGTGATTAGTTCTCACTGTTAGGGTTGGATAGACAGCCCATGGTCATTCATTCATCCAATAAACATTTATTAAAGGCTATTGTCATGGTTCAAGCCAATTTCTATGGTTGACTATGGGTCAAGTGGGACATCTTGAATCTAAATCCTAGCCCAGCTTGGAAATTTGCCTACAAAGTGGATGGGAAGATAAACATGAACAAAAGGTACCAAGGCTGAAACTTAAGTCTAAGCCAAGCTTTGTATTCCATTTCTTCTTCTCTGCCTTTATAAAAGGGACCACTTTTTCATTTGCCTTTTTAACATGTACACCTGTACAGTTGACTTTCTTACAGGTTTACTCTAATGTAAATTTAGTGAACATATTATCCTTTCCATCCTGTATCTTCTTTTGACACACCTCTCTAGAGAATGGAAGCCGTGTGTGTGTGTGTGTGTGTGTGTGTGTGTGTGTGTGTGTGTGTGTGTAGGTTTTACTTCTTTATAGAGAAATACTTTCCCCAGACTTTGCAAAACCAGATACTTCAAAGAAAACCAATTCCCAATAAAATCAAAACTACACAAAAACTGTCAGAAAAGCTTCTTTCATTTCGAAAAAGAAGAAAAAGGGGGGGGGAATATTAGCAAGATCCAGACCTCACACAAAACACCTAGAAAAATTTTGACTATTGAAAATTTCAATTTTTCAATTTCAATTTTTCAAATTGTTTATTTTTTAATACAAAGTGGCATCAGCTTCTTTCATCTATTGTCTTTAGTCTACGGTACAATGAAGTTGTCCACCTATGTTGAGCTAATATCTATGAAAGAGCTATTTAGCTTTGAAGTATATATCTAGTTTTCCTGGTCTACAAGGTAGCATTAACCATGCCTACCTTCTGAGTAGCTTCTTTCCTGACAGGATAAGCGTGATTGCTAAGAGTGATTTTGGAGATGCCAGCATGTGCAGCAATCCTGAACTGTCAATCACTAGTAGCATACCTATGATCTCCCCTGCTAAGTTAAAGTGCATGACTTGAATCAGTGTGAACAAATGCTCTTCTAACATCTGTTTCTGTTTCTGTGGAGAAACAGCCTTCAGCATGGAAACTGTAAGAGGGAATCTCAACTTAATGAGCTGTAGAAGAGAGACGATAATAATAATAGCTAACATTTAGATAGTATTTACTATAACCCTGGGAAGTAGGTGCTATTATTATCCTTATATTACAGATGAGGAAACTGAGGCAAAAAGAGGTTAAGTGGCTTGCCCAAGGCCACATAGCTGGCAAGTGGCTGAGGCTGGGTTTGAACTCAGGTCTTCCTCTTGAGTTCTAGTGCTCTAATCATTGAGACACTTCGCTGACATTAAGTGGAAAGATTTCTGGATCTGGAGTCACAATACTTGGGTTCAAGACTTGGCTCTTCCTCTTACAACTTGAATAGTCTTAACCTCTTTGGGTCTCAGTTTTTTCATCTATAAAAAGAAGTGGATGAACTAGATGACCTTCTAGGCCCCTTCCAGTTCTAAATCTCTAATACTAAAATAGTGTCCAGTTATGAAGGGCAGACTAAGAGACTCAGGATGGTGAGAATATTTAAAAAGATATAAATGTTTCAAAGCATTATAAAATATAAAATAGATAATTTTGATTATTTAAAATTAAAAAGTTTTTGCACAAACAAAACCAATGCAACTAAAATTATAAGGAAAGCAGAAAACTAGGGAAAAATTTTGCAATTATCTCTGATAAAGGCCTCATTTCTCAAATATATAGAGAACTGAGTCAAATTTATAAAAATGCAGGTCATTCCCCAGTTGATAAACAGTTAAAGGATGTGAAAAGGCAGTTTTCAGACAAAGAAATCAAAGCTATCTATAGTCATATGAAAAAATGCTCTAAATCACTATTGATCAGAGAAATGCAAATTAAAACAACTCTGAGGTACCACCTCACACTTATTGGAGTGGCTAATATGACAAAAAAGGAAAATGTTGGGTATTGGAGGGAATGTAGGAAAACTGGAACATTGATACACTGTTGGTGGAGTGGTGACCTGATCCAACTATTCTGGGAGACTTTCAGAGCTTTCTTTCTATTTGGAGAATTTGGCATATCCTCTTCCCCCTTTCATTACTTTCTCTCTCCAGCTTCACTATCGTTCTTCAGTCAAAGTGAGAGAGCTGTAAGACAATAAATAGCCTCTTCTCCAGACCAAGTTTGAAACCCCATATTTCTGGAGATGACTCCATTCTTCATATTAGTTGAGAGATTATCTGTGCGGTCCCAACCAAAAGAACTTTAACTTTCAAATGAAGATCCAATAGGTAGTTAATTCTTCCCTTTCCCTCCAAATCTTTTGTGAGTTCATCCTTAAATGCTATCTTTGTTCACCTAACAGCCCTAGAAGCATGTGAATATTTATCTAACTACTTTGTTTTTTCTTGCTCATATGGACATTTACCTTTCTTAATTTTCTTTTCTTTAATGAGTTTGCATGTCAAATACCTTGCTTATCCTTGGGTTCCTCAGAAGAACAAACTTAATTTCTTCCCTTTTGCTAATATTTCATTCTTTTGCATTTACAGTTAAGGTTAACTTTGCAGGGTATGTTATTCTGGAATAAAAATTGATTTCCTTTGCTTTTTAGAATATCATATTTTAATGTTTTCCTTTTGTTTCTTGCATACAAGTGATAGCCTTCAATGATTCTGACTTTTCTCTGGTATGTGAAGGGATTCTGCTTGACTGCTTACAAGATTTTTTTTGTTTGTTTGTTTAATATTAGATTTCTGGAATTTGACAGTGATGGTTCCAGGTAAGCTTTCTTTCTCTAGATGGTCGAGGAATCGACTGGTCTGTATATTTACCCTATGTTTCTAACACTTTTGGAATACTTTCTAGCATGATTTCCTAAAGCTTGATATTCAGAATTTTTATTTTATTATCTCTCCCACCCCCCCCCCCAGAACTGTGATTCTCCAATTATCTGGATGCATTTTATCCTCAAAGTTTGTTGTGTTGGCTTGTAGAAAGGTCAGTTTTCTACCAATCTTCTAGTCTTTTTATTTTGATATAACAATCTTTCTTCCATTTTTGCATTTTCTGTTCTCTTTTTTCCCCCCAGAGAATCTACTGTTTTGGAGAGATTCTCCATGCTTTGTCCTTATCTAGTCTCATCCGTCTTACTGATTTCTTTTCTTTGACACCTCTAGTTCTATTTCTTCCACTAATTCTTTTACTGTTCTCCTGAATCACTGTGGAGCTTCTTGCATTTTTTCACAACTTCTGGGAAGTCTCATGGTAATTGTTGCTGTACATTTCTTCTCATATGGGGTTTTTGAATCACTTCTTTCATTCCATTTATTTATTCATTATATTGGAGACTCCTTTGGGCTGTGTGCCCACTTTAATTAGTATCTCTGCTGGGTTTTTTTTGGGGGGGGGCAATTTTCTTGCAATGAGTTTTTTTTTCCCGCCCCTGCTCTGTTGTTGGTTACTACTCTTGTTCTATTTGTTGCATTTCTTGCTATTTGGAAAGATATTGGAGGTGGGGGGTGAGGAGGGAATGATCTAGGCTTAACTTAACATCATGAGTCCTCAGCTACCTTGAGAGAAATCCTCAGACGCTAGACCTTGTGGCTAGCATTCATATAATACTCTGAGGTTTGCAAAACACATTATATACATTATCTCAAACTCCCCGCTGCCTGAAGCAGCCTTTTTTCCAGTTTTTGTCTGAACTAATTAATAAAGTTTTCCCTAATATCTAGCCTGAAATTTGCTTTTGTGCAGCTTCACATTTCTCTTGATTTTGCCTGCGGGACCAAGAAGAGCAAGTCTAATCTTTCCTTTGTAGCCATGACATCTATCCTCCATCTTATTTTTTCCAGACTAAACAACCCCAGTTCTTCCACTTCTCTCTAGAATAGCATTTTCTCAAGTCCCCTCACCATTCTAGTCATCCTCCTTTTGAAATATTCAGCTTGTCAATGTCCTTCCTAATATGTGGTTAGCATCCCTGAGCCTTAGTTTTCTTCCCTGTAAAACTGGGCTGGGGCAGGCTAGGTGGTACAGGGGATAGAGCACCTGCCCTGAAGTCAGTTAGAGGAGCTGCACAAGAAAGGAAAACATCTTTGAAGTTCTCCTTAACTTATCTCATCTATTCATGGATCTCTTTGGCATACTAGGGAAGTCTAGAGATTCCTTTTCAGAATAATGTTTTTAAATAATTGAAGGAAATGCTAAAATTCAGTTAGAAGTTAGTGAAAGTAAAGATGCAATTTTTCCCCGCCCAAGTCCATGGATTTCATGCCCCCCTCCCACATATCCCGAGGGTTCATGGATACCAGGTTATCAATTCCTGCTCTGCTCAAATTCTCCCTGTTATTTACAGCAACTCCCAGATTTGGGTAAGATTTGGAGTTCAAATCTGGCTTCAAACCAAACACTTGACACTTAATAGCTGTGTGACCCTGGGCAAGTCACTTAACACCAATTGCCTAAAAAAGAAAAAAAACAAAAAAAAAACCTGGGCCACCAGCTCAGCTAACTTTTGAGGGCTGCTGAAAAGATCAAATGAAATAAAATAAGTGAAAGCAATTTGTGGACCATAAACCACTCTGGAGAAGGAAGAGGTCACTAATTAATAGCTTCCATTCGTAGCATATTCATTTCCAAGCAATTCCACATACATCATCTCATTTGATCTTGCACAAAAATACTGTTGTTGCTGAGCTACGCAGGTCAGCTATGATCATCCATGAATTGACCAACTAATAGCTATTAATCGGAGGTTTGGCAAGAATCCTCCTTATATAAATGAGGAAATCGAGTCTCGGAGAAGTTGAGATTTGTACAGGGTCTCAGAGTTTATAATTCCCCACTGAATGCTCAGTACTGCACTAAGTGCTGTGGGAACACAGATATGGTTCTCAACCCTTAAGTACCATAGACAAAGCCAGAAAAGAACTTTAACGTCATCTAAGTCTTTCATTTCACAGGAGAGGAAACTAGGGTCCAAAGAATGACTTGCCAAAGATAATACTAGTAGCAGAACAGAGACTCAAATTCAAGTCTCCTGATTCTGAATTCAGTGTTCGCTCCATTACACCGTGATTGTTCCACAATCTGATTGGGGCAGAATTAACCAACAACAGGGAATAACCTGAGAACAATTAAGAGTTGAGTAGCTAGAGTTACAGAAAACCTTACCTACTCTTAGTTCTCACTCTGCTGACGGAGTTAAATTGACAACCCATTCAAGGAAAGACTCCTTAACTTACCTCATCTATGTTCAAGCATATTGTTAAAAAGAAAAAAAATCTAATCAACATGCAGTAGCAAATCAAGCCTTTTAAAAATCTGCTAAACACGTTCTTTATTTTCCTGCCTCTCTGACAAGCAGGATCCTGCTAAAACTCTGCACTTGTCAGTATGCACATCTCATTGGCATTTTTTAAATCTAGAGATGTTCTGGTGCTCAAGACATGTTTCTCCATCTTTATGAGACCTTAGGTCTCTGGGATAACCAATGTCAATGGCACTGTGGAAATATGATTTGCAAATTGTGTAAAAATTAACCTATTTAGCCTCAATTACCTCACATCATTTTAGGGCTGACTGCCATCTCAGATCATCTCTCACAAGTCACTGATGGGGTAAATGAATCCAGGCAGAGGCCTGACTATCAACGAGAATGAAGGAAAAATCAATCCTAATCTCCATTCATCCTTTGATGGCAGGGGTCTGGCCTTCCCCAAGTCCTAATGCAGCCCACATTAGCTACAGTGCTGGAAAACCCAATCTGTTCAAGGCTAAGGGGACATAATGAAGTACTGTCTAATGGGAGATTCACAGAGCTGGCTTGATTTATATTTTATTCTAAACCAATTTAGAGGAGATGCACAAGAAAGGAAAACATCTTTGAAGTTCTAAAAAACAGGACTTCAAAGATGTTTTCCTTTCTTGTTCATCTAATCTACTTTTTTTTAGACTGTTTCCTGCATGTCTAAACAAAAAGCCTTTGTTGTGAGAGTTCAGATCCTGATTCACTTAAAAGAGGCTTTGAAATCAAGGGACAATTTAATTTACTTTTAACTCTATAGAAAAGGGCATGGTATTCACCACTGTCAAGTACTTTGGGGAATCTATTCTCAGAAAATACTACATTTCTTAAATTAAGTTATAAACCCATTTTCTCCAATAGGGCTACCATTTTCATCTCATGGTAATGGAGCATTATGCAATTTTTCCCCATATTTTTTTTTATTAAAAAAAATTCTCCTGGCTTTGTCTTCAGGTGTCCACTAATATCACTTATTTGTACTTTATAATTATGGGACACATAGAAGGAAAAACACAAAGTTAGACTAAAAATAATCATAGGTCCACATTTTACAATAATATGTTACAAAATTATATTATTTGCTTTCAGCAGAGGTTCTTAATTTTTTATGTTTTTCATGGATTCTTTTATTCATGGATCCCTTTGGTATGCTAGGGAAGTCTAGAGATTCCTTTACAGAATAATGTTTTTAAATAATTGAAGGAAATGCTAAAATTCACTTAGAGGTTAGTGAAAGTAAAGACGCAATTTTTTCCCCACCTAACTCCATGGATTTCAAGTCCCCCTCCCACATATCCTGAGGGTTCCTGGACACCAGGCTATCAATTCCTGCTCTGCTCAAATTCTCTCTGTTACTTACAGCAACTCCCAGATTTGGGTAATTAAAAAAAAAAAAGTCTTCAAGTCTTTGGGCATTGACTTCAGGCAGTGCTGCACACTGTACCAAGTAGGGTTTGGAGCATGCAGAGCTTTGCAGGTATGGCGAGCTCTCCTCTCCCCTCTCCTTCTTACCTGAACAGTGGGCTGTCACAGCAAACACAGTGATACATTCCTGGCTCTGCATTATTCAAAAGGACTCCACTGAAGGGCTGCAAAATAAAGAAAGGCTGTTGCTTTCTAGGCTCCATGTCAAGAACAAGCTCTACAGTATCATATTGAAAAAGCAGAGACAAGTCTTAAAATGAAGGCCACAACTCCAAAACAGGCCCACACCTCTAGGAATCCCTGTGCCAACCTGACAGGCAACCCAAATATTCCAGGTGAGAAAATTGCATCGGGCTTCTCTAGAAGACGCTGGCAGGCTTATTTACAGCTCAGTCTTTATTGTGCCAAATATTCAAATTACTGCATTAATAATGCTTTGTATTTATATAACACCTTTCATCCAAGAACTTCAAAGTGTTTAAAAAAGCAGGAGACCAAAGTCTCATCCTCTGCAACTGTATAAGGTTTCAGCCTCCATTCCAAAGGAGCTAATTCAATAGCGATCTACTCTACTGGCTGAAGCACTTTGAAATCCCCAATTAAAGTGGGAATATAAATGTATAAAGGCATAGCTCAGTGGGGAGGGGAGAAAGTGCTTTGTCTTTAATATGCTCCATGTGACATTTGAGATACAGTACACTTTAAACATGTTAAATATGAGGCTGGGCTCTCCTCGTGACCATGCTGGCCATGTCCCAATTGAAAAGCAAGTCTTTCTGGAACTTTGTATCCCCAGTGCCTGGCCCATAGTAGATGTTTAATAAAAGCTAGCTGATTGACTTGGTAGCTGCATTAACTAAATGTAATCTGGCTTTATAACTTTAAAAAGAATTCAATATGGAACCAGAGAACCGTTGAGGCACGGGAGAAACTGAGTCAATAATTAAAGAAACACATTATGGTGACTGCACGTTGGAGCCCGTCTTTGTCAATTCTTTTGGCCACCTCTTCCCTCCTTTGAATCCTTCTACTCTTTACTAGTTGCTCTAGAAACACTCAGTTACTAGCCCAGGGCTAGGTGAGAACTATGAATACTATGTAACAGAAAGTTTGGATCCAGTCCCACCAGGCTAGCCAAAAGTCCTAAAGTGAAATCACTAGCAGCCGTGGGAAATCAAACTTGGGGCTTCAGAGCTTCTCGTGTGTTTCGGACTCAGAAAACTCAAAGGTCAAACACCCAGACTCCCTATGGTAGTTTTACCACCGTGCTTTGTAGTGTTCTGCATAAAGCACAATTTCAAATTAACCTAGTGAGAAGACCATCTGGGCACATTTGGACTTTTTCCCTCTGCTAACCCTAAAATTAGCTGTAGAAATCAGAGCTAACCCTTTTGCCAAGAGGATCTGGCACCTTGCTTTATGGGCAGTCCCACCCTGAGCTTTTACCAGGAGCACTGATTGGCATCTGTAATGAAGGGAAGTTTCTTGAATTTGTGGCACTCGGGCCTGGGTTTATAAAATGTAGTAAAATGCATTTTTATTTGCATTTTAAAAAATACCCAACCTGCACACTTCAGCAACCAGAATATACCCTTCCTATCTGCCTATCCAAATATTACTCATTCTTCAGGACAAAACTAAACTAGAACCTCCTTCTTCATTTTTCTCTGGCTCACAGTCATCTCTCTCTATAATGATGTCCTACACTATGTAACCTCACCCTATAACATCCATCATGCGCTACCTTATATTGTCATTTAAGGTTCAATTGTGTATGACTGATCTCCTCAAATTGAGTGTAAGCTCCTTAAAGGCAAGAACTGCCTGGCTGGTACTTCTTTGGTTTTTATGAGGATTAGATGGAGATAATGTCCCTAAGACACTTTCTTTAAACCTTCAAGTACTATAGAAATGTCAGCTATCATCATAATTATCATTCCATGATGTACAAAAGTACTTGGTAAGTCTTAAGTGCTATATAAGCTATTAGGATTGTAGGCTTTCTGGATATTTATTTAATAAATCTCATCAGGGGCTCACAAGTTGGACACACTTTTTTTTAACATGTAGAATATGGAAAAGGATCGATTCCAAAAGGATTTGCGACATGAGTTCAGATTATAGACTTTGCTCATTTTGTAAAATAGCCAAACACACAGGGTGTGTTATATATGCCATCTGCCTGAGAAACCCACAAATTTATTCTACTAAACATCTGGCAGCTCATCTCCAGTATCTAATACACACACCAAACGTTGTCTGGCAAATGGGCCCAGGAGCCCTGGGGGTGGCAGTGTCTCTCGGACCACTGTGTGCCCGGCTTCCAGCCTTCATGGCCATCAACCAGGGAAGCGATTCCTGTGGAGAAGGGGCTAGGCAATCCTTCCAACTGCCAACCAACTGCATGCCACACACAGGGCAGGCATGCCAGCCTAGCTAAAGCAGCAAGGAGAGAGAGAGAGAGAGAGAGACAGAGGCAGAGACAGAGACAGAGACAAAGAGAAGACAGAGAGACAGAGAGAGAAGAGACAGAGACAGAGAGAGACACACAGAGAGAAGAGAGACAGAGACAGAGAGAGAAACAGACACAGAGAGAAAGAGACAGAGACAAAGAGAAGAGAGAGAAACAGAGAGACAGGGAGACAGAGAGAGACAGACAGAGACAGGGACAGGGAGAGATGAGGCAGCATGGGCCAGGCATGTCAAACCACCACCACTACCTTGACTGCTCTCTCCCCTTGGGGTCCTTGATGGAGACAGTCCAGGACTCAGCCCCAGAGCCCTGGGCATATCAGTGCTTCCAGCCCAGTGCCCTCAGCCTTCATTGTGGGAAGTTAACCCCTGTGGAGTTGCAGCCTGGCAACTGCTTCTGTAGGGGCTACAGCCACAGTTAATGATGACCCAGAAAAGGGTTCTTGCCACCAAAGTCCTTAGCACTGTCAAATGATTCAATGTTAGAAACTGATATGATTTATCAGTGGAGATGACAATAAAGAAGATGCATCACCATCTGCTTTCCTTCTGCCCTGTAAGAACCATGGGACCTTTCCATCTGACTTGCAGCTGAAACCTTCCATATGCCTTGTCCTCCCCCATTGTTGTGGGGATCCTTGAGAGCAGGGATTGTCTTATTTTTCTATGTGTATCCCCAATGTTTTGTCCATACTAAGGGCTTAGTAAATGCTTTATTCATTCATTCACCCATTCATTCTGTACCTGAGAATTGAGCCTGGCTTAATAAACTCTGGAAGCACCCCAAAGTACCCAGAAGACAATTATAACTTGTGACTCACTTGTGCTTCGGGAGGCACCACCCCTAAACCTCTGGGAGTGGTGGACAAGGTATGGCAGTTTTATTAATTACCTGTCTTGTAAAATTTTCTCTTGAAATACCCCTCAAGCATTCAAAAGTCTACAGTAGATGAATCAGGCCAGAGGAGACCATTTCAGCAACAGAGTGGGTGGTGATGCTGCTATAAAAATAATAATCATCATCATTTCATTCACCACAAAAACATGGTGGGTATTTTTATCCCATTTTATTGCTGAGGAAATGAGATTCAAGACACTTGACCCAGGTCTCACTACTTAAATGGACTAGCTAGGACTAGAATTTAATTCAGAATGCATTTACTCGATATCCACTATGTGAGGGGAACTATGCCAGGCACAGACCTGGAATCAACCTCTACTCTCAGCCAGCTGGTACAGTGGGTAGAACAGAAGACTTAGAGACAGGAGGACCTAAGTTCAAATCCTGCTTCAGATACTCAGTAGCTGTGTGACCTTGGACAAGTCATCTAATCTTGCCCGGCCTCAGTTTCCCCATCTGTAAAACAGGGAGAATAACAGCACCTACCTCACGGAACTGTTATGAAGATCAAACGGGATAACATATGTAAGGCACTTTGTAAATTTTAAAGTACTATGTAAATAGTAGCTATTATTATTTATCACTGTTTTCAAGTCCAGGGTTCTTTCTATTGTAAAGTACAGCATACCTAAATAGATAGTCACAGGCAAATAAAGGCAAAACTACAGATATATTACAGCCTTCCTATGACACTGCCTTGATCTGAGCCACTACTTAATTAGGCTGACCCTTCAGATGTTCAGTACCTAAATCTAATTAGACAGTCTCTATCCCAGAATCTTATGAGGAAAATATTAGTTTACATTGTTTTGGATAGATTATAGACAGAGGCAGAGAAGAATAACTCACATTTATATATCACTTGAAGGTTTACAATGCACTTACTCCAAGTATTATTCTGATCCCTGTTTTATAGATGTGGTGGAGATAAAAGCTCAGAGAGAATGACTTGCATGTGACCACATAGCTAAAAATGGGAAGAGTCAGGATTCAGATAGAAGTCCTGAACTCCATTCATCACATCATCCTTCCCCAAAAATGGATCAGAATTGAACTGGATGAAAAGATGTTTCTAGTAGGAATACAGATAAATAATCTCTCTTAGGAGATGATCAAATGCTTAGATTGTTTTATTAGACAAAGATTTCTCCCATCTTGGGTCTGAGGAGAGGTAATCTGGCACAAGAAGAGGCAGTGTAACATCCTCAAGATTGGGTCTGGAATCGGAAGAGCTCAATTTGAAGCCCAGTTCTGCTACTTATTTATTTATGTGGCCACAGGCAAGCTTGGGTCTCAGTTTCCTCATCTGTAAACTGAGAAGGTTGAACTAGATGTCCTCTAGGGTCCGGTCCAGATATATATTCCATGATCTCATGGCACAGTGGAAAGGGAATGGGATTTGGGGTCGAAGGACCTGGATATGAATTCTGGATTTGGGGCTTTGACCTTCAAGCCAGATTGCCTCTCTGAGCCTCAGTTTCCCCATTTGTCAAATGAGATGACTGAACTTGATGATCCGTTAAGGTCCCCTTCAGCTCTAAGCCTAGGATCCTATCATCTATTTCTCTCTTCCCTCCCTTCTGAGCTTCCTTCCCCCTATCCCTCCCTGCCCATATGAAGCAGTTTACCAGTTCCGTTCCCTTTTCTCTAGTGACGTAGTACTGCTCTGGAGTCAATTTCTTTTTCCAGTCAGTGGCTGGCTCACCATGCTTGTTGAGAGACCCTATATTATTTTAAAGAAGAACATTTTTAAAAAAGCATGATTCATTTTAATTTTTGCTTTCCCCCCCATTGGTCTTATATAGCATACTATTAATCATCTCGTGGAAAAGCAAAGAGACATTCAGTTCCTTTCTTCCCAGATTCTCACCCTCCACAGTGACTGGGGACGCTGCACAAAATGATTTGAGAGATTCATTGGTTTAATGAGAAATTTAATAACAAGCAGGAGTCCAGTTGTCCATCCCTGCTAGAGGCAGCTGGAGGTGGTGGCGGGGGGGAGTAGGGGAAAGATTCATTGCTGCAGTTAGATACTAAAAACAGCTAAATAAATCCTGACTGAGCATCTAAGGGTAGCACTTGACCCTTTCTGTTCTCTTATTGGTTCCAAAGAAATATTTCCTATCTTGGGTTTAGCTAGGAACTATCACAAGAGATTCTATAGAAAGATAACTCGGAGTTGCTATACATTCCTATTGCCCTTCAAAAACTAACCATGGCTTTGTTCACTGAGGGTAGATTGAGGGCAACTGGGAAGGAGTCACTATAGGGGAGAGAGAGAGAGATGGAGACAGAGGCATAGAGAAAGAGATATGGAGAAAGAGGGGGATGGAGAGAGAGAGAGAGAGAGAGAGAGAGAGAGAGAGAGAGAGAGAGCGAGAGGAGATTGAAGGCACAAGCTTCTAGAGGAGATGGGAGAGCTGTTGTTCCTTCTTCATTTTCAAATAGAACCAATAACATCACAGGTGATGTCTTGACTCACTGATGAATTGGACTTAAGTGAGACAGGGTTGCACAAAGTCATCACCCTCACTCTCTCTTCCAGAGTCACTGAAGTCCAGTGGCAAGACAAAAGTCAAGATGATAGTGATGTCCTGGGATGCAGTGGATGACCTTGGCATCTCTGATGTCTGACCAAGCTCTAAGTGCTCCATAACGGCCTTCATGGCCATTGGAACAAATTGTTCTAATCCACCCATTCTGCCTGGGGAGGTCTTCATGTGCTTGGAGTAGACATCCCCCTAAATCACCAATGGGTTTGAGGCCCGTCGGTTATCCTCCACCTAGTTTAGCCCAGCTACTGAGACGGTTTTACTGGGGAGGGGGGGAGAGAAGGAGGTGACTGCTGAACATACTATAACTCCTTGGAACCACAGGTGAGAACTGAGTGCCAGGTGGACATCAAAGGTGAATGAGCAGCCCTGAAAAAGGTTCACAAGCCCTCACACAGAAATGCTACTCCTCCCTGAGCACTCCATACACCTCCAATAGGAGATCACAGCACCAAAGGCCAAAGAGGAGGGGTTGGTCTTGGAAAGGAAAAAGTCTACTTCTTTCTCAGAGACTGGCTCAAAGGAGGAGAGAATAAGGGCTGACAACTGAGAAAATTTGAAGTGTAGACTTGGGAAGAAGAGGAAGTTTGAGATTCTGAGGTCAGTCTCACAAATCTCTCCTACAAAAAAAAATTGGAGAAGATTCATTTCTACTGTGCAGCTATTCTCTGCAAGTGAAGTTTACTCACTGTCCATTTACAGGCTGTGTCATTGGTCATCAATGGGTACAGTAGGCAGGTAGGGAGCAAGGTTAATAGATCCAGTTAATTCCCAATAATTAATCTGTGTATTATCTAGTAGTATTTTTTTGGCTTCGTAATCTCTTCTCCCTGCCACCATGTATTTGGGGCATTCTGCCCTTATCCCTTATGCAAATTGGTGTTGACTCAGGACCATAGGGCTACAGGTGGAAGGATACTTAGAGGACCTTCTCACCCAACCCCCTCATTCTACAATGAAGAAGCTAAGACCCAGAGAAATGAAGTAATTAGTCAAGCTCACGTGGGTTACAGAAGCTGAGTCAGGATTTGAGCCCAGATTTCTGGAATCTAGAAAGGAATATAGCTTCCATCAGCCTTCTGTCCCAAGATGAAAATTGCCTAGAGGGCACCAAATAGTTAAGTGACTTGTCTAGGCTCACAGACACTGTATATTTAAAGCAGAACTTGAGCTCATCTCCCTGAGAATGTTTCTCAACCAAAGCACAACAATTTGGAAGGCGAGTCTGCTAACAGATATGTAATCCCAAGTCAAATGCATTTGTTAATTTTGAACAATCTATGTTTCTGGATCAATTCTGTCCTCTTTTATTAGCTCAGATGATAATTAAGTATTAAGTTCTGGGACCTCTGCAACTTGCTCAATTATATACACACATTTAACAGGAGGATAAGATAGAGGCTCCAGAGAAAATTAGACCCATTTCCACACCCTCTGGCTATACAGGTGTAACTCACTCAAAGTAAAGTTATGTGTAGGTATAATGATTGAAAATGGAATTATATTTTTATGTGATGTGGAAGAGGGTACAACGTAAGAGAACCTTGAGACGAAATTTCCTAAAAAGCAGAGAAATCTTTCTATAGCACAAATTACTGCTCTGTAATTCCCCTACTGCTTGTGTGTAATAGTGGGTAGGGAGCTGGCCTGAGAGAAAGAAGTCCTGCCTCTGACCCTAAGGCAGAGGCTGAGTGACCTTGGGCAAGTCACTTAACTTTCTAAGACTCTAAGATAAAGAACAGCTACCAAAAATGCATTGGTACAGGGCAGGAGTGGGAACCTGTGGCCTTGAGGCCACATGTGGCTTTCTAGGTCCTCAAGTGCCGCCCTTTGACTGAACTCAAACTTCACAGACCATGAAGGGCCTGTACCAATGAAATCACAAGTCTAGTTTTTTAAAAAATCCTCTACTATATAAACGGAAGGGTTTGAATATTGTCTTTTCTTCAAATTTGCCATAATGAAATTGGCACTTTTCTTTTTGGATTTTGGAGTTGATTTAGCAGCTGAAAGCACCACACTGGTCATTCCTATTTACAAAACAGATCAAAGTTCAACAAAATCTTCCTTCTCGTGACCACTAAGATTCTAAAGCATTTATGCATAGCTTCACAAATGAAAGGTTAAACAGAATATTTATAGATTGAACAAAAATTTTCTAAACATTTATAGATTAGAACACAATCATACTCCAAGAACTGCTAAAAAAATAAAAACAAAACAATCAGCTTTCGTCTTTCTTACCAAAACACCTCATTTAATGTGCTAAAATTAGCCTAAATCACTAATGCTCAGTTTAGTGTCATTTTAGAATCACGGATTCTTAGAGCTAGAAATGACCTCAAAGATCATCTACTCCAATACCCTGCTGGAGGTATAAATCTCATCTATCATCCACAGAACCCCTTATCTCTCTGCAGATGATTCCTAGATCTAGGTAGCCAGCCTAGTCTCTCTCCTAACCTCCAACTCCATATCACAAACTGTTTATTAGGCATTTTGAGCTGGATATCCTCTTGGCATTTCAAGTACACATGCCCCAAACAGAACTCATTTTCCCACAAACCCACCTATTTTCTGCACTTACCTGTCATTGCTGAGGTCCCTGACATTCTTTCAGTAACTAAAGTTTCAAACCTTGGTTTCATGTTTCAGTCTTCACTCTCACTCATCCCACAGAGTCAATCAGTTGCCAAATCTTGTTTTTTCTCACTCTAAGATGTTTCTCAAACTCACATGACCACCAATCATCATCTCTTGTTTCTACCATTGTGGTAGCTTCCTTTTTGGTATTCTGGTCTTCTCTCCCCACTCCAATCCATGTTCCACATAGCGACCAAAGAAATTTTCCTAAAGGACAGGTCTGACCACATTATCCCCCTATTCAATAAACTCCGGTTGCTCTCCATTACGTCTAGTGTCAAATATAAGCTCTTCCGTCTGGCATTGAAAGTTCTTCACAACCTGGCCCCTTACCACCTTTCTAGTCATTTTACATATTACTCCCTTCTGCACACTGGAGTCCAGCTGTTCAGAACATGTGATACTCCATCTCCTTTGCCCTGGCTGTCTTCCAGGCCTAAAATGCACTCCCTTCTCACCTCAGCCTCTTGGGATTCCTAATTTCCTTCAAGACCAAGCTGGGATGCCATCTTGTCATCTACATGAAGCCTGTCCTAAAACATATAAGCATTTTGTATATATCTATTATCTATCTATCTATCTATCTATCTATCTATCTATCTATCTATCTATCTATCTAT